AGACTTGCTGCTCTAGGGTGGCGTTTAGAACAGGCCTTGGCCTTCATGACGCGCCATATTGAGTAATCCAGCGGATTAAGATCGGGGCTGGATGGCGGCCACATATCCTTCGCCCAGAACGGAAGATGTTCCTGCAACCATTTCTGAGTGCGGTTCGAGGTGTGACCCTTTTGACGGTCCACCGGAACACTCCCACGGTGATTTAAATGTCTTTTTGCGACATTTGCGCGTGGGACAAATCACGAATACGCTGCGAATATGGTGCAACTTTCAAACTATTGTCGTTTTCATGTAAATCATTTTCTTTTATACACAGCCTACTACAGTATGAGCTATAGGTTACGTGCATGCAAAAAAAAAAAAACCAAGGTGAAACGGGAACCTTATTTTTACGATGGTGCAAACATTATCACGCATTCGGTACATGGCATATAAGATCGACTTAAATTTGATTTCAAATGACTCAATCTCTAGGAAACGTAGTTTACTTGTACACTGAGTAAAATATTCGGAGCCTCATAAGTCTTTTCGAATATGACAAAAATCGACGAAAAATTTACTTATACACTCAAAGAATAAATTATATATCCAATGGAAAATATTCATTTGAATTTTACATAACTTTCATGTGATATAATCTTTAAATTTTTCGAACCTCTTAACTGAATCCCTATATGAAGAGCTTTGAGTGTGTTGGTTTATTTCCTTTCAATTCATAATGAAGTCCTTTATCCATCTCTTTGTTAGCCTTTTTTACCTCTGCCATGTGTTCCTTAAACCTTGTTTCCAAAGTCCTTTTTGTGTAGCCAATGTAGATATTATTGGAGTCTGGATAAGAGATTTTGTAGACTCTGACTTTTTCTAAGACATTTATTGAATATTTTGTTGATCCTAACAGTGCACAGTGGTCGGAGATGCCAATTTAGTGAACTTAATTGTTTTGTGATCAAACCGTTGACTTAATCCAAAAACTGTCTTCAGAAGAATTGTTTACAAAAACATTGCGCATATTATGACAATTTTCAATATTTGTCATGGCACACTATGAAAAAATTAAGAAAAATAACTTTTTTTGCAAAAGAGATAGAAGGGTAATTACTTGAGCAAACTTGTAGTACTTACAAAAATATGAAACTTTGTTGAAGACATCAAATTTTTATGACGAATAATTGTGAAGATATGAAGCGTTTTTGATGGAAACCCCCTTAAATTCAGTTTTTTATGTATAACTTTTTTTATAACAGTTTTTTAAGTAAGCAATGTTCTAAAAAAATGTAAACAACATACAAATACATATTTTTCTGAAGACAGTTTGTCGCTAAAATCATCTCTTTCAAAGTTAGAGTACTTTTTACATTTATTTTTCCTTAATTTCAGCTGCATATAGGGGAGAAGGTGGTAAACCGGGACACAGCACCAAGTGCTCTTTTTAAAGCTTAGACTCTGTACTACAAAGTAGTGAAGGTTTGGTTAGCGCCAATTCATAAGTGAGTGAATAGGGTCACGTTGAATGTTCACGTGTTTGGCCTTTTTCTATATAAAAATAACCCTGTCTCCTCATTTATGAACGGTAAATTACGGATTATATAAACAGATATTATCAAACTCATCCGTGAACAACAAGGAAATTTTCTGTATGTATGTATTAACAAAACATTTTCTAAGAAAAGCACTTTGTGTGCTTAGTGTACTCCAGTTGTCAATATATATTTTGGTTAGAAAAGAGTGAAATTAAAGCGGTGGTGAAAAACCCTATACCATCCTCAACAAGATACTGCCGACCCGTGCGAATTCAGTTGGTTAGTGAGACAACTGAAGCTACCCTCATAGAAAAAGAGTATGTGGATAATAAGTTCCAAAATTTTCGGCCAACAGAATTCGAAATCAATGGTCGTCGGATCCGAGTCGAATATAGGCTACATATGACCATGATTGATGGCAAAGTTGTTAATGCTGTTACCACCACCAAATCAGCACAGCGATGTAATATCTGCAAGGCTACACCCACTCAAATGAATAATATTCAAAATGTTCTTTTGCGACCAATCGATGGAGAAGTATTTCAGTTTGGATTATCAGTTCTCCATGCAAAAATCAAATAATAAAAATGTAATATAACGTTGTTCAATCCATTCAAAATTTGACAAATTGTTACAGATTTTTCGAATAATTTTTACACTTGGGCTACAAAATAGAAGTCAAAAAATGGAGATGTACAGGACCTGATGCCGAAAAAGTTAAAGTCCGCAAGCAGCTTATCCGACAACGCTTCAAACAAGAATTGGGACTTCTTATTGATATGCCACGCGGCAACGTGGGAATACTGCGCGACGTTTTTTTGTGAATGCAGCAGTTTCCTGCAGAGATTTTGGGTGTCGACCTGCAGGTGATAGAACGTTGCTCAACTTTTTTGCAGGTATTGTCTTCCGGACGAGAAATCAATGCATCTAAGTTCAAGAACTATTGTCTAGAAAAAGCTCAGTTGTTAGTAACCCTATACCCTTGGTTTTACTTGCCCGCCACGGTCCCTAAGATTTTTATGCACGGTTCAGACATAATTCTCCATTTCAATGTTCCTATCGGCCAGACCACGATGTCAAGCAGTTTTGGCGTGACTTTATAACAGCGATTTCACAAAACTGGACCAACTAAATTCTGTTTTATTTCTAAGTTCGAGTGGTAGTAAACGTCTTTGTGTCTGAAGAGGCACAAAAGTTGCAAAATAAAGTACTGAAAAGGTTCAGACTAGATCACACTCGAAAATCATCACGAGCTACAATAAACGGTGATCTCATGCGGCGAATATTAGTTTCTTCAGATCCACTAATTGCTGGTTTGCGTGTAAAATCTCAGGACAGAGAGTTTTCCGAAGATGCACAATTTTCGTTATATTTTTCAGACAGCGAAGAGGAAACAGATGAAAAGTGAAACATGTTATCATGTTACTTCTCAGAAAAATTATTATTGTTAAACTACAGATAAAACTACTAACAGCAAGATAATTATGTTCTTCTTGACTCGCGCAGATAAATGAAAGTGAAAGTAAATTCAAAAACCATTTTTAATCCACAATAACCTACATACTCTTCCTCACATGCACACTTAAATGGACACATACAGAAAATGTCCTTGTTGTTCACGGATGATAATCCGTAATTTACCGTTCATAAATGAGGAGACAGGGTTATTTTTATATAGAAAAAGGCCAAACACGTGAACATTCAACGTGACCCTATTCACTCACTTATGAATTGGCGCTAACCAAACCTTCACTACTTTGTAGTACAGAGTCTAAGCTTTAAAAAGAGCACTTGGTGCTGTGTCCCGGTTTGCCACCTTCTCCCCTATATGCAGCTGAAATTAAGGAAAAATAAATGTAAAAAGTACTATAACATTGAAAGGAATGATTTTAGCCACATACTGTCTTCAGCAAAAATATGTATTTGTATGTTGTTTACATTTTATTAGAACATTGTTTACTTAAAAAAACTCTTATTAAAAAGTTATACATAAAAAACTTAATTTAAGGGGGTTTCCATCAAAAACGCTTCATATCTTCACAAGTATTCGTCATAAAAATTTGATGTCTTCAACAAAGTTTCATATTTTTGTAAGTACTACAAGTTTGCTCAAGTAATTACCCTTCTATCTCTTTTGCAAAAAAAGTAATTTTTCTTAATTTTTTCATAGTATGCCATGACAAATATTGAAAATTGTCATAATATGCGCAATGTTTTTGTAAACAATTCTTCTGAAGACAGTTTTTGGATTAAGTCAACGGTTTGACCACAAAACAATTAAGTTCACCAAATTGGCATTTCCGACCACTGTGCAGTGACGTCAGCTGATTTGTCCTGCTGCTGAATACTAAATCTTGGTCAAAACTTCAAAACATCGAACTGAATGGTTTGGTAATGTTTTTGACGAAATTCGTTTAAAACCCTCAGTTACTGGTGTAAGAGTTGTCAAAGTACGCCTTAAATGATCCCTTGTTCTGCTTGAATTGTTTTTTCTTGATACCCATTAAGTCTAGCGATTTCAAAAATGTGAGCGATTTCCTTTTCCATTCCTCATTTCATGTGATATCATATGTAATTGGGAATTGTACCACAAAATCATATGAACCTTATGTGTCAAATGAAATTTAAGTGATTTATCATATAGGACTCATGTGATCACATGAATGATATGTGAAATTCAGATAGATATCGTTGGTTTTGTTAATGGAGAAATATTATGTGTATCCAAATGGAAACTACATGAAAACTTTTTTCCGTGTACTAATTGCATATGTACATCGAGATGTTGCTCATATTAGAAAACAAATTCCTTTAAAAGCTCCGAAAGCTTTACTCAATCTATGAGTTAGCTAAGTTTTCAAGAATATGAGTGAACTAATCTTTGAGTCGACCTCATTTTTCGTGCAGCCGTAACTTATCGTTTTATTGATTGCTTTTAACGTATACGGTGTAAATGGATGCATTCCCAACTCCAATTAGGTTCAATTCGTTAAAAGCAGGTCTTTTTTGGTCTAAAATGGCTTTTACTGACATATCAAATTTTGCATCACACGCAAGACTTTTTGCGGCCCAATTACAAACATTTCTGAAATTCATAGACATTTTTCGCAGACTTCTGAAAAACAAATCTGGCATCTCTGACGATTGTTCACTTTAACGGCTTCATGTAATTTTTTGCTCAAGTCAATGAATTTTGTAACAAAATAAGCTAATACAAAAATCTGCACATGTTCGTCACTGACAATTGACATGGTTTGCCCTGACAATGACTGTTAGCACAACTGACAACTGAGTGACCAAAGCCGAATTTTAAATATCGCCGTATTCAACCACAATGATAACAAACTTGTTATCAATTTGATATAAAACTTTTCTCGGGCCGCTGTACTCTCCTTCCAGCACGCAACTCCTTCAATTGACAACCGTACAGAAAGTGATTTTTCATGTTATTATTCGTCCTACGTCCTCTGTCACAAACAGCTACACCATCCGGCAGCGGCTACCCCTTGGAATCCCCCTTCCGGTTTCCCTGCCAAGTGCGGCTAAGGACATCGCCATAATTGCGACAATTTTAATTGCACTCGGCACTGGTTGTTACCATTTCTATCGGCGCGGCAGTGGACGTGGAGCTGATGGCGTTTGGAGCCGACAGGCACTCCTCAGTTGGTGCTCTAACTACCACTACTACATCAATAGCAAGATGGGGGAAAAGTGCGACCTGGTGGTACCTTCGCTGTAGATAACCGCAACCATAATGGGTGGACTGGGTGAAATTGCCACCTCGTGGTAGAAATACATAGTAATCAACAGTGGTGAGTAGATAATGAGGCAGTGATGCCAATTTGTTCAAGAAATATATTAAGAATAAGAGAACGATGGCGTTTTAGAATTAATCAGAAGGAAAGCCCTGCTCTACCTGAGTATTTGACGTAGGTTTTTGCAACTCAGTTGAACCAGTATACCATGTGACGACCGCAACCGCCACTCAACTAGGAAATGTATCAAAACCACTCGAGAAAGAAATAATCATTACCATTTCGGTTTGCTTCTTGTTTAAGTGTGGCTTGCAGGATCTACCCTCAGAATACCATGGCAGGATTTACACATGAAAAATAAGCAAAAGATCTATTTAAATGTTGGTTCGTGCGATTGTGGAATCAGGCTATTGAAATATCTCCATGCAGACCTGGAATTCTCCAGAAATAAGTCAAGAGAATTATTTTGATAACCGGTTTGATATTTTATTCGCACCGACCAATCGAAGCTATTGCTCAATTTTCATCGATCAAATAAAACCCAAATGTGTTCAGTGTTGCATTGTTTTGTAAAACGTATTCGTACATTAATATATCAATCCAATACACCGTTCTCGCGTTGGTTTGCTTTTTTGCTTTTGAAAGATAAGATTACAGTCGAATCGGAATCCACCATCAATATTGGCTGAATTGACCCCGACGAAGACGGATTATTCTAGCTTTTGGAGATAACAACTAGGTTTCGTTTTGGCAATATCAAACGATTGCTGTAGTACCAATAGCAGGGGTTGAATAGGTTTGATAATTTGCCTTGGACGATTGATTAGATTAGCGTTTATTGATTGCTCAAAATAAGTCAGCTCGTGCTGTCCGAACTCTGTTTCGGGGCTTTGTGAATGGTAGTTGGCACGTACTTTCCACCAATGGATTTTTATTCAGGAGTGTTGAAGCAGTAAAGGCAAATATCTGTATCTGTAAGATGTGACAAACGTAGAAAAGTGTGTTCAGGATGAGATATTGAGATGGATGAATCATGCGAATTGAACTGAGCAAACGATTGGGTGTAGGGGATATGAATGCCTACCCGGTGAGGTAAGACGGACCCCAGCCAGTTCTAAATGAAATCCTTGAGATAATTGTAAATGTTCATTACAGAATAGATTAACAATAACATGATTTTCATAGTTGGATATTCTTTTTTCTCTGTCCGGGACCTAACACCCCTGCGACCAGTAATTTGATCTATTATAGTATATCCCGTGCCCTTAGTTTAGTGCATGTCGTATTACTCCATCACTATTGAGAAATGATGAAGTATTCGATTTTTTTACAGTTGCCATTCTTGCATTTATCGCAAGGATCCGACTCTAATTGAAAGGTCCCGCTATTTATACCCTTCGGAGTGTTGAAACACCCTCCAAAGACACGCCCCTTTGTCAGTCAAAATTGGATTCCTTAGCAACAAAATTAAGGGATGACACCGATAATGACGATGCATCAGAACCCTAGTCTTAATCACTTCAAACTAGGGAACAACGAATAGAAGATTAGGAATCACATAGATGAAGACTAATTAACTCATTTTTTCCTTGTTTCAAGATCATCCTCGGTGAACAAATCCGAGTCTTGTCACTATCAACAAGGCATAAAAAGTAACAAGGACTTAGATATGTTCCTTGGATTACTGAAAAATCCTGTTCTCCTAGTTTGAAGTAGTCAGGACTAGGAATCGGTGGTAGATCTTACATCCCGTAACGTACCACGAAAGGTGATCTACCCACGTTACGGGGCATAGTTAGAGATGCTTAAAGTCAAATATCAGACTTGAAATGGTCATTTTATGCGATAGATTAGGAGATGAAAGAATAGAGTTGATAATTCCGTTAGAGTACGGTGTTAAAAATTGTAAACAAAACAATCTTTAAAAAACATCGGAAAAGTGCAGATAATTTTGTTCTTTTGTCTTAAATTCGTAGAAGTTTGTCATACGCATCAGACTTAAATACTTAAACTACATAGAAGCTCAGGAATTTTTGGAATAGTTTAAATAACTTCTTAGAACTTCAGGGAACTTCTGTTATTCAGAAAGCTTACCATTTGTAAACTTCCTGGAAGTTTGGAAAATCCCATTTAATTTCAGGAACCTACCCAGAAGTTCAGGTATATTCTACAACATGTTGAGGGTCTTCCCGTATGTTTGAAGAAATTCATATATGTGCTGAAATTTTGTTATAATTAAGAGAGCTTAGCAACATTTGTAACTTGGATAATGTTGAGGGAGAAATTTTTTTTTCTCATAAATGTCTTCATATTTGGCATCCCTGGCGCGGGTAGCATAATGAAACTACAAGGACTTGAACTTGTAATTCCCATTTTGAAGACATAGCACAGGGAGTTAGCTTGTTATGCTGGTTTCTGCCATAACACAATTTTGCGAGTTGTGTTGAAAACCCTCACCTTTACCACGGAGCCACAACCAGGGCTCCACAAAGTCACTTTCAATCGAAAATCGTCAAGCGACGATGAAGCTATCAACCATCACTTTCAATTGAAAGTCATTCTGTTTTCTCTTCGAGCAGATCCCCGTAAACATCAACAGAACCAGTTTCGATCAGTTTTCGTGCTGTTTGTTTTTACTTGACTCGTGTTCATTTCTTCTTTCATTGTCAAATGAACTTACTATTGCATGCATTGAAGCGAAGCTGTTCGATCCAAATTCGTGCAGTTTTTATGACTTTTGTTGCTTGTTCACTCGGTTCATTTCGGTTCAGATCATCGTCGGGTGGGTTGTTTACCCATCAATATTAGCATTTTTTTTTAAACGTGGTGACGTCTAGAGATCGAAAATTGATATGTGACGCCATTTCGAAATCCAAGATGGTGGCTTCCAGTTTAAGAAAAAGTGGGAAATGCTGTCAAATACCCATCATTATAGGTATTTTTGGAATCGGGATGGCGTCTAGAGGCCAGAAATCGATATCCGATGTCATTTTTTAATCCAATATGGCGGCTTCCTATTTCAGAAAAAATGGGAAATGCTGATGCCGTCCCATCAATATGGGTATTCTTGGAATCGGGGTGACGTCTGGAGATTGGAAATCAATATCCGACTAGTGCTGGGACTCGGATTATCCGGATATTTTTAGTTTTCAATTTTATTAAATTTTGAAAATTAACAGATCTACCATTCCACATCAGGTCACATGGGCACCTTAAAACCAAATTTTTGACAAATATTTAGAACTGTAAAACAGAAAACTGTTAAAGGGAGGATAAATTTGAAATTCCACTATCCGGATATCCGCATAATTACTATCCGCCTGATAACCATCTCAACGTTTTCTCAATTTATTTTATTTCAATATTCGGCAAGAGAAAGCATGATATTCTGTTTACTGAATATCAATTCAATGATATTTCATTTGTTTGAAAGTAATTTTAGTAAAAAAATTGAAGTATGCGGATAGTTGAAGTCCCTGCTTTATATCCGACGCCATTTTGAAATCCATGATGGTGGTTTCCGATTTGCGTAAAAGTGTAAAATATCCTAAAATATGGTTATTTTCAGAATGGGGATGAGACGTAGATGCCGAAAATTGATGTCACGCCCTCTTTAAATCCATGATGGCGGCTTTGGTTAAAAAACTGTGTGTCCGAATTCCGAAAATAATCATATTGTAGGGTATTTGACACTTTTTCTGAAACCCTATGGCCGCCATATTGGACTCCAACATAGAATCGGATATCGATTTTCGGCAGCTACGGGTTATCTCCGTTCCGAAAATACCCATATCTTAGGGTATTTGACACGTTTTATGAAACTTGATGGCCACCATCTTGGATTCCAAAATGATGTCGAATATCGATTGTCGGCATCCCCGTTCCGAAAATACCCATGTTTTAGGATGGTTGATACTTTCTGAATCCTGATGGCCACCATTTTGGATTCCAAAGTAACGTCGAATATCGATTTTCGGCACCTTCGCGCCGTCCCCGTTCCGAAAATACCCGTATTGTAGGGTATTTGAGACTTTCCCTGACCCCGATGGCTGCCATCGATAACAAGAAACACGATGACTCACACGAAAAAGATATTGCTCGAAATGAAGCGATTCTGCGGAGAGTTCATTTTCTTTTCTTTGTTTCGAAAATGCAGAACCCTGGCCACAACACAGTAATACCTTGAGCACCCTACAAATCGGTGTATCATCACAGACGGTCAACTCGCAATCTTCATACGAAATGACAAAACACAGTTCCGAAACAGAACTATCCCAATGTAGTAGTTTTTCCGAAACCTGGCTCGGTCCTGATATTTCAAACTATGAATTTTCACACAACTATATGATCAATCGCTGTAATCGCAACGCCTCAGCAAGCCGATTTTGACGTGGTGGAGGTGTTTTGGATGGAGTCAGAAATGTTTTGTATAGTGCCGTTGTTTAGATTTCTGGTAGAAAGCGTTTGGAGCAAACAATCGTTTCGATCAAGCTTCCTTTTGAACTCTTCGTTTGCTCAGTTTATCTCCATTCAAATTGCGACAATTCACTGTATGAACAGCACTGTGCATGTGTTCAAATAATGTTGGAACAAGCCCGAGATCGTAGTGTAGTTGTTGTTGTTGGTGACTACAATCTGTCGTATTTGCATTGGGATGTTGCTGATAAATTGCGATGCTTGCTACCTACAAATGCGTCACCTGAGCATGAGTTAACTGCGGTTAAATCGTTCTTTGCTAATGGTACACACTTAGAAAAATTGATGTAAATGTAGGTGCTCGAAGACTGACATATACGAGCGTCAATTTTGACATAAAATTGAGTCATAATTGTCGCAAAATTCAGCGCAATCAAACGTACTTGTCAGTCTCGGAGCACTTAATTTTACATGACATGTTTGCAAGGGCGTAGCCAGGTTTCGAGCTAGGGAGGGGCGAAAAAAAAATTACCATGGAAAATTTGGCCGAATGCCATTTCACCGAACGCCATTTCCTCGAAAGCCTTTGTGTTGCCGAGTTTAGGGGGGGGGGCAGTCGCCCCCCCCTGCCCCTATCTGGCTACGCCTATGCATGTTTGTTTACGTCTCATCCTTTATGTCAAAGATGGATTCCGTCACGTG